TAATGAGATAGGACAAGATATATTCAGGAATATCCTTCTACTATTTCTCCCCTCCAAACTTGAGTTCCTTCCACTTGAGCTCTTTTGTGAAGAGACCAACAGACATACCAGACATGTGGCCTCACAGAGAAAAGGTCTTGTGCAGACCCAAGAAGGTGGCCATTGGCAGGCTAAGGAGATAGACCTTAAGAGAAAGCAAACCTGCCGACACTTTGACCTTGGACTTCTAGCCTCCTGGACTTTTGAAYAGAGCCTTCAGATATGGCCAAATCTCCACTTGCTTTCGTCCAGATTTCCAAAAAGAAGTTTTGCCTTCTCCATTCTGTCCTTTTTCTGTAGTCTTCTCTGATGCCCACTGCCCTGCACCACTGCCCAGCAGAATAACTCAATTTCTCCAAAGTGCKTACTTGTCTGGTATATAGTCTAGTGAATTAAACCAGGCCCAAGGATAGAAAATCAGAGTTCAACCTGGTGGACAGTGGATAATGAATAGAAAAGGAACCTGAGCTTAAGATTTTGTTGAATAAAAAAGAAAGTCACTACTGGTGGTTGTTGACTTCCAAGATTACAAGACTAGTATTTTTACCCATCGACTTGCTACCTCTAAACTAAGCATATTTTTACTTCATTTTCAATTATGATTTTAAAAGGTAAGAATCAAGTTTTTAATTTTTGTTTCCAGTGCTCAGCTAGATTATATGGTAGATGCAAATAGCACGGTTTAAAGATGAGCTCTCTAAATTAACTTTACACCAACTTGCTCATTCTTTTTATACCTGAGTGGGAAAATCTGATACCCCAGAAAATCAGGTGAAAAGCAAAAKTCTAGTTGAACTTTTAATGGTGATTCATTTTTGAAATGTTATTAACTTTGCATCAAATCAGGATTTTTTTTTGTGAAAATGTAACTCCTCTGAACCAGGTTCTGGTAAATGAGAACAGACTGGGAGCTTGATGAATATGGTACATGTGGCCATTTGGGGCTCCTCCCTCCAAATTCCACAAATAGGGTTACAATGACCAAAGCAATAAAGATTATCTTTCCATTTAAGGCTGATTCCTTTTMCTTACTGCAGATTCCAGACTCTGTCCCGTGGGCTTCTCTTTATCAAATGCCCCTTTCCTGAGTTTTCATTCTTCTTTACTGATGTTTTCCTGTTTGTAATATACTCACATTTCTCCCCACGCCCCACCCCCCAAGCCCTAGGCCCTGTCCCTGTGTGGGTCCTGAGTCCTATGGCAGTTAAGGGCTCTCTGTTCTCATTCATAGTCAAGAGTTGTTTGTAACATACTCACATTTCTCCCCACTAGGCCTCTTATCAGCTGTATGGTTCTTGCTTAAATCACTAAACCTCCCTGAACCTCATTTTCCTTTACTGTAAAATGGGGCTATTTTATTAAATCTCATAAACTGCTTGATAATTTAAGGTTTAATAGAGCATTTATAACAGTGTTTGGGACATAGTTCATATCATGTAAACATTATCCAAGTCTTTCATGTTTAATCTCATCTAATATCTCTGCAACACTGCTGACAATACCTTCTTAAATGAAATGCTCCTCCCTTAATAATGACCTGTCTTTGTTTTCCTCATTTGCTTGCTGCTTATTCTTTTTTTTWAAATCAAAATGTAAAATGTCATCATTGTCTTTATTTTTTGGACACACGTTTATTAAACAAACCAGTTTTACATATGTAACTGTAAAATCTAAAGAAACAGAATAAATTTTTAAAAAATATTTATTTCTTAGGTGTAGATGGACTCAATACAATGCCTTTATTTTTATGTGGTGCTGAGGATCGAACCCAGGTCCCGCCGGTGCTAGGCAAGCACTCTACCGCTGAGCCACAATCCCAGCCCCTAAATTTTTAATAAATTCCTCATCAATGTAGTTCACTTTCAAAGAAATGTTTAATTGGCAGAGTAGAACAATGTGTTTCCACATGCTGATTGATCAGTGCAACACTGACAATTACAGTTAACATAGTCAAGAAGCTGAAAATTGAGATTTATGGAAGACAAACTTAAATCCATCTGTTTAAAAAAAAGGGGGGGGGATAATTTAAACTTGTAAATCACACACTTTTCATGCAAAAACAACTACTTTTAATCCCTATTTTCATCTTAAATGACCATTGAAGAATTAAACAATTTTGGGAAAAATTCAGTAAAAATTAAAAAAACTAGTAGTATGCATTTAAAAACTGCTAATAGGATAAATAAAACCAAATACTATTTTTCACTATACCATGAATATTGGCACTGTTTATTTCATATTCATGTCAGTTTCAAAGCTTAAAAATCCTAATAAAATTAAATGGTTTGATCAGTCCAGTTTTCTTCAACAAAGGAATCCCTTACTTCTAGATTACAGATTTTAAAAACCGAATTATTGCCTTTGAATTTTCATACAAACAAAATACAAATGTATTTCTTTTATGTTGGTGGTACTATAAAAGGCAAGAAATTCTGTTAATGTTGTCCTTAAAAGTACAGAATTAAAATCATAATAGAATCCATCTAGTGCACCCATAARTGTGCGTTTTGATTTCACATCCTTTTCTCATAAAAACTGAGAATTCATAATACACATCATGTGGATATTTTGGGGTTAGAAAACCCATGGCTCTGGGCATTTTAAATAATRATTCCTGAGTTTCTTCACTCAGGAATTGCATACATTTTTACCTTCCCTCAAAATAAAACACTGATGATACCCTGGCAGAAAAACTTACTAAATTATCTTTAAAAGTAAAAAAGCAACATTATTTTCAATTGTCTGAATAGAATTATTATAAATGTTTCAACTTTCACAACCCAGGCTTTTTTCTACCTAGTTTCAGGCACCTCATGGTTCTCACTCCTTTTTTCACCCCAGGCTCAACAGCACCAATTGCAACATAAATGATAGAATTTGAGGTCATCCACCTCACTAGAAAGAAAAAAAAAAAAAAAAAAAAAAGGAAATATGTTTCCTGTTTCTGGGCCACAGTGAGGTCAGTCATTTGTCCATTAGCAACACTTCTTCCCATCTCCTGCTTGTACACTTTTTCTGTTCTTTCTGCAACATTCCTTCAGGTATAGAAAGTCTTCACTGCAATGCCCCAACTTGTCAAACAGCTTTTTCCAACCCTTTGCCCAAAGATTTTACTGAAGGCTCATATTATTAAATAAGATTTTCTGAAAGCACCTCTGGAATTCCAACTTGTGAGCCAAAACTGGTTGCTTCCACAATCGCCAGGCAGTGCTTCTATAGGGGACGTATAAAGAAAAACATGTCCTTGGACCCAGCCACTTCCAACATCTTAGCTCCCAAACACAGACTGTCATGTAGTTAGTGTCTTTCTTGTACTTATTCCGAAATGATTCTCATGGGCCCCTCTTCTCCAATAATGAAAATTTAAATCTGGATATTTCTGGTTAATTTAGGGATACCACTAAGAAAATTAGTCTCCTCTACAGGCCACACTGAGATGATTAAGGATCAGTTCCTACAGCAACCCAGTTAAGATGTGTCCTGTTACCACTGAGTTCCATGGCTATCTGTCCTTATTCTCTATCCCTAGCTCCACACTTACAGAAAACAAACAACAACAAAAACACTTCTTAAAGATGTTTAACCTCAGGGATAGCTGAGCTAGTTCCATACTTGAAATTCCAGGAAAGGTTTTCATTTCCTATAAAGCCCACTAATTGGGATCTTATTCTAATATTTCTGGGACTTATTTCCTGTCTCCTATGCAGTCTCACATTCAGTTAACTCTTAGTTTATATTCATTTACCATACTTTCTCTTCTAGTCTTTTCTGACCTACGTTCCCAGACTGCCCTATGCAACTTCTACCTCACACTRTTTTTTTCTAATTTTTATCTGTTCGTTTCAGTTAACATGACAGTAGTATGTATTTTGACATTTCATATCTACACGGAGTATAAATTTCCATTTTTGCCTCATATTGTTTTTGACACCTAAGGTCTCTATACTAGGTTGTGAGTCTTAAAGAAATGGAACTGAGTCTTACTTGCTTTTAAACTCCTAATATCCAACATAGTATCAGGTGCTTAATAAGTGGTATATACGTGACTGCATGACCAAAATGATAAGGAAGGGAGGGAAAGGGAAGGAGGGAGGAAGGAAGCAGGGAAGCTGTAGTCCTCCGCAGAAGACTGCGCGTGCAGGGGGTGCTGTCCCGCCCCCGACCCCAGGACCAGCTTCAACCCAGTTTCCCACAGTCCTGGCCCTCAGCCTTGCCCTCCGAGGTCTCAGGGCTGTCCACAGCTCCCTCCACGGGACAGCGGGCCAGGAGCACGCACTACGGAAAGCCRCAGGAGGTCTCGGCTCTGCTCCGGCCGGCCGAGAAGCCCCGCCAGAAGGGCCGGGACCTCCGCAGCCCTCCGCACCGCTCCCGCAGGGGCGCCCAGTGTAACCTTGGCGGCCGTCAGGGATCGAGAGCGCCTGCGCGCCTCGGAATCTGGTCCCGTCCACACCTTGGCTTGCGTCTCCACGGCTGCAGCATCCAGCGGGCTCGGGTCCAGGCCTCAAGACCCTCACGCTCCGCGCCGCCCCCTCAGGAAGCTTACCCATCGCAGCCGCAAACCGCGCACGCGCRCCTGAACCCGCGTAGGTCCCGCCCCCGACGCCCGCCTCCATTGGCCGAGAGGCCCGGCGGCCCGTCTTGGAGCGGGCGTCACGTGACTGAGGGCGGGGCTGAGGCGGCTGCTTCCCAGCTGGGCCCGGAGGGCTCCGCGCTCAGCCGTCCCGGTCGGCCCCGAGACCCCGCGGACTGCCSGCCCCAGCCGAGCGGGGCGGCGGGAGTGGCTCTGGCTGTTGTCGGCTTTCCAGGCCCGCTCGCCTTCCTTCCGGAAGCCGGGTAGTCGCTCCCCGATGCCGAGGCTGCGGTCGCCGCGAACCGGATGCGAGCCTCTGAGACGCACCGGAAGTGTCCTCTGAGGCCGAGGGGCGGCGCGGGCGGGTGAGCTAYGGGCCCGTGTGGGCCGGGCGGCGTGCGGGTCTGTGCGGGGCGGCGCTGGTGAGGCAAGGCCGAGCCGGGCCCGCGGCGTGTGGGGTGGCGCAGTGCGGGGAAGGCCGGACCCGGCCGGCGGCGTGCGGGGCCGATCGGGAGCGGACAGCCTCTGCGCCTAGCGGGTCCTGCGCCCGCACTCACCGGGGATCGTGGAAGGCCTCAGCTGGTTGAAAGCACGGTCGCCGGGGGTGAGGGCGGGAGACGCTGCTGCAGGCGGACGCGGCTTTTGCGGACGTGGACGGTCCCTGCCTCCTGTGCGGCGGCGCCTCGCGCTGGGCCGAGCCCGGGTGGTTCGTCCTAACCGTTGCCTGGTGGACACCGGCATCACAGGTAGCTGTTACCTACACTGGTCACGGCGCGTTGCCGTCTGTAGGATCAGAAGAAGGGGTCCTTGACCTGGAGGTTGACAGAATGACGACCAAAGCAGTTGGCAGAAGGAGAGGGATTCAAAGCGGAAAAGCAAGGCCTCGGGCTTTGTTAGGAAATCGAATGCCGAGCGAGTCTTGACATTCTGTATGGAGCAGGTCAGGAAGGAACTTTCTAGCAGGTTTGCTTACAGGAAAACCATGTAGGCAGTGGTGGAAAGAGGTGTAAGGTACGCTGCAAGGATGCTCACCAGACTGGAGAGTAAATGCGACCAGTATTTATTAATTTTTTTTTGTTGTTGTTGTTTTCCAGCGCTTAAGATGAAACCGAGGGCCTGCACGTGCTAGGCAAGTACTCCACCACGGAGCTACACCTCAAGTCCTCTTATTATTTAATTTTGAGACGAGGTCTGGCTAAGTTGACCTGGCTGCCCTGAACTTGTGATCCTTCTGCCTTAGCTTGCCCAGTAGCTGGAATCAAAGGTGTGTGCCATGGCGCCTAGTTTGGGACCAATATTTAAATAGCACTGGAAAAATTATAAGTCTCACGAAGTTATCTTGAACGCTATTTTTTCTTTTAGGAGAGGGAGGACTTGAGTATTGTGAATAGTTCTGGTCTAGAGACCTTTTAGAGCCAAAAGGAATACAGTCTTGAATCTTTCTTATGGTAAGTGGCATACCAGATTTTTTGTATATTTTCTTCTTCTTCTTCTTTYGGTGGGGGCGGGTTGAACCAGGGGTGCTTAACCACAGCCCTTTTTTTGTTTTATATTTTGAGACAGGGTCTTGCTAAGTTGCTGAGGCTGTTTGATTTTGTGATCAGCCTCCCAAGTTAAGCTACCAGGATTATAAGCCTGAGCCACCGGCCTGGGGTTTGTTTTGTTTTGTTTTGTTTTTGTAGTACTGGCCTTTTATTTTGAGACAGGTCCTGCCCAGATTGGCTCAAACTTATGATTCTCCTACTTCAGCCTCCTGAGTTGTTGAGCTTAGATGTGGGCCTCACCTGCCCTAAGCCCTGCGTTCATATATAACTGTGGATTTGAGGGTAGGACAGAAAAGAATGGGAGAAAACCAGTGGAGAAAGAATGTTCCTAGCCCTTAACACAGTAAAGCTGTAAGACTGAGCAGTGTGCCCTATCAATTCAAGAGTGTGTTCTAATTCTTTCTGTCTTGCCAGCATTTTCATGATAGACTTACAGTAATTGCTTCTTGATTAATATGCCACACAAAGAACGTAATATGCCCAGTGCTTAGGCAGGCTCTGGTGTCAGAAGATATATACTTAACCCCTAACTAGCTTTTGGGGGTGATTAGCTAACTGCCCTGAGCATCAGATTTTCTATTGAAGATACACACATTGGTATTAATATCTCTTTTATGGGGTTCTWGGGAAGAATAAGTGAGGTAATCCCCTGTAATCAATGCAAAATAAATGAGCTTATTCCTAACCAAGGGCCTATAATGTAAGCATTATTTATTTTTTAGATAATGCTTTAATTAATGACTTTAATTGTCTCATACATACTTTCACTATAAAGATAACCTTGAACTCTTAAGCTTTGTGATTCAGCCTGTCTGCTTGGGAGGCTTTTTTTGCCTGTCTGATGATTTTGTACACTTTGACCCTGCGCATGAGAATACCAGTCTCTTCCTAGGATGGAGAAAGAGAAGCGTTGTAGAGGGAGGAGGGTATTTGGGTTTGCCTGATGGACCAGTTGGGTCTACTGGCATAGCCTGTTGTATTGCTACTGGAGATGAAAGGATGATAGCCCTTTTTTGTTCTGATATTTGTTTCTTCATATTTTTTATTAGCAAATGTATTTTAGATGGTAAGGATATTGCAGTGAAAAAAAGACTAGATCCTACCCTTAATAGATGTTACATTCTTTTTTCTTTTAAATCAGTTAGTGTATTTATTTATTTATTTATTTATATTTATTTTTTAGTTCTCGGGGGACACAACATCTTTGTTGGTATGTGGTGCTGAGGATCGAACCCGGGCCGCACGCATGCCAGGCGAGCACGCTACTGCTTGAGCCACATTCCTAGATGTTACATTCTAATAGGAGAATCAAATAAATGAACAAAAATAAAATGTGTATTACAAAGTAGAATTGAGAAAAGTGCATGAAGAGAAATAAAATAGGACAAATAACTTGTGCTATTTTTAGATAAAGGTAGTCAAGATGTGCTGCTTTTTGAGGAAGTAATTTTCAGGCAGAAACTTGAATCAAAGGAACAAACAACTTATAGCAATTAAGCAGAAGGAAAAAGTGGTATCTCTGAGGTATCTTGTGAGACTGAAGGGAGGCAGAGATGACACATTTTGTAGGGCAATAAAAACTTTGGCTTCTGTCTTGCCTGCATTTTCTGAATGTGATAGGAAACAGCATTTAAACTAGGAAAATGTCATGGTCTGCTTTGAGTTTGATAACCCATCTACATTGTATAGATGCTGATATTTCAAACTTAATACATGAATGGGAAATTAATATCTTTATTTTTTCAATTTTTTTCTTCTTGGTGCCCCATACTTTCTTGGTTATTTATGTCAAATGTGATACTTTAGATTTATTACTTTAGGGAATAATTTGATTAATTTGCCAGCCTATGATCAAACTCAGAAACCTTTATATTGAACTCTCCTTTTGAACTTTACCACATTTCAAAAGACAAAATACCATAAACCCATCATTTTGTACCACCTATTTGTCTACATGCCTGCATATCTATTTAGTTATGATTCTGAATTGAAATTCTTCCCTTCTAACATTTCTGCATATATTTTTCCCCTAATATTGCCATGTCTTTCTATTAATCATTAACTGGCTGAGTCTTTTTATTTAGTTTATTATCTTAGTGGGTTTTGAGCCAGACTTGATACAAGAGTCAGGTACAAAGGATGAGCTCAATAAATGTTAGTGGTTAGCGTATGCCTATAATCCCACCAATATGGGAGGCTAAGGTAGAAGGATTGCAAGTTCAAAGCCAACCTCAGCAACTTAGTGAGACCCTACCTCAAAATTAAAAAAAAAAAAAAAGAGGACTGGGGATGTTACTCAGTGATTAATTGCCCCTTATCTTGGTTCTCATTGTAACGCCTTGAAGCATGTGTATTACCTATTTTATCAAAGAAGTTGGGAAATTTAAGTAACTTACCCAAGTTCTTCCATCCACAAAGGAGCACAGTGGGAATTTGAACCAAAATGTGATTTCAGAGATTAACCTTTTAATATTGAAATAATTTCAGGGKTTTTTTTTATAGTTGTAGTTGGACATAATACCTTTGTTTAATTTATTTATTTTTATGTGGTACTGAGGATGGAACCCAGGACCCCACATGTGAGCCCCACACGTGAGCGTTCTACCACTGAGCCACAACCCTGACCCCCTAATTTCAGATTTTTTTTAATTGCAAAATAGTACAAAGAATGCCTGTATAACCTTCACGTGTGTTCTCTAAATGTTAACATTGTATCACATTTGCTTTATGATTTTATATGTCTGTATATACACACAGATATGTACTTTTTTTTTGTTTTTAAGAATTTGAAAGTGATCTGAGGACCTAATGTCTCTTACACTGTGAAAGAAGTAAGTCCTGAAGTCCTAACTTCTCTCCTATGTGTACATGCACAGTGCTACTAGCTACCTGCCATTCTTGGGAGAATTGAGAAAATAGTTATTTAAATATATTTTCTGTAGTACTTCATTCTCTCCTGGAACCCTAATTGAGGAAACCTACCTAAATACTCAATTGCTTATCACATTTCAAAAGACAAAATACCAAAAATATTTCCTTCAATTAACAATATAATATTAAAATCAAGAAATAAACATTCATATAGTACTATTATCTAATCTCCAGATAGTATTCAAATTTAGCCAGTTGTTCCAATAATGTCCTTCTTAGCAAAGGAGGGGTGTCTGTGGTCCAAGATCTAATCTGGCATTATTCGTTTTGTTTAATTATGATGTCTCCTGTATTGTGTGACATATTCTCAGACTTTGATAACCATGGCATTTGCTGATAAGAGTATCCCTTAGTCTGGGAGTGTCTCCGGCTTCCTTGGGTGGATTCAGGTTCCTCTTTGGGGCATGGTGCCACAAAGGTTCTGTGTTCTTCTCTGCACAATGTTAGAAGGCACCTGGAGTTGCTTTATCTCGTCACTGATGAGGTTGACCTTGATATTTTGGATAAGGTGAAATCTTTCCAGTTTCTATACTGTGAAGTTATTCTTTATGGTCTTTGTGACTAGGAAATGTCAAGAGTTTTATATCTTGGGCTGGGGATGTGGCTCAAGTGGTAGCACGCTCGCCTGGCATGCGTGTGGCCCAGGTTCGATCCTCAGCACCACATACAAACAAGGATGTTGTCCGCCGAAAACTAAAAAAAAAAAATAAATAAGATATTCTCTCTCTCTCTCTCTCTCTCTCTCTCTCTCTCTCTCTCTCTCTCTTAAAAAAAAAAGAGTGTTATATCTTGATCATCATAGTCACTTGATCATGTAGTCACTTTTCACTAACTAGACTGTTGTCTGAGACAGTACTCTTCTTTTGATTAGACATGGTGATTTTTTTAAAAATTCCACCATTTCTTTTACATGTAATTGCTGGCTTTTCTATGTAAGAGACCATCTTTCCACTTATTTATTCCTCTGTGAGTACAGATGCCTGGATTCTTGTGTTAGTTCACTGCTGTCATGACTTGTTTTGTTCTACTGTGTCTTTTAGATTTGCATGGTGGCAGCTCCTTCATCTCAGTTCCTGGGTTGTTGTGGTACATCATTGCTTTTTGAGTACTTCCTTACTTTCTGGCCCAACAGGCTATTCCAACCTCATCTTATAGCTTCCAACCCTATAATCAGCCATTTTCCAAGGAATCCTCTGTTTCCTTTCCATGGAGAAACCAAAATCTTGGTCTTGGTGTATTCATTGCCACTAGGATTTCATTTCTGTGACTTTTCAGCAGACATTACTAGGAAAAAAACCACGGACATTTCACACGTACAGTACCTTCCTGTCTTCTCTCTGTGTACTTGAAATTCTGAACTCGTTCTGATACCGGTCTCTGATTCCAGTTAAACAGTAGAATTCATTCTAACGTTTTCTGTATCTGTAATTTCCCTGACAGTGGGGAATCTGGGTGGCATTTTTACCCTATAGCACATCCATATTTACTTATTTGTTTAATCCCAGGATGAATGTTTAACTAGTATATCCTACCACCATGAGGAAAGAAAACAAAAATACCAATTAGTTTGGTAATTTTTTAATGAATCTATTTATTTATTCTAATTAGTTATACATCACAGTAGAATGCATTTTGATTCATAGTACACAAATGAAACACCATTTTTCACTTCTCTGGTTGTACACAAAGTAGAGTTGCACCATTCGTATAATCATATATGTACCTAGAGTAATGATGTTGGCCTCATTCCACCTTCTTTCCTACCATCTCCSCTCCCCTTCTGTCCCTCCCCCCAGCCCTTTTTTATATTTTATTTAGAGACAGAGTCTCTCTGAGTTGCRGAAACTGGCTTTGAAATCAGGCTAGCTTTGAACACGAAATCCTCCTGCCTCAGCCTCCCGGGCTGAGGGATTACGGACGTTTGTGTTGCGCTGGGCTCTCTGTAGTTGATTATGGTTATTTATCTTTAGTTT